GTATATATAAGCACTTCCCTGGCTGCTTAACTTAACATTAAACTTCAAATTTAAAATCATCAAATGGCAGGTCATTGTAGAAATTCTTCTTTTAGTTTTCGCTTAATTGAAAATCATCCACCTGTTGAAATTCACCAAGTCATAGAAGGCAGCCCGGTGCACTAAGCTCCAGCTATGCGCGGGGTCCGGGGTCTCGGGAAGGATCGGATCACAAGGGTCTATTGTACGCAGTCTTACCCTGCTTTTCTGCAAGAGGCTATTTCCACGGCTCGAACTCGTGACATCCTAGTCACATGGCAGCAACTTTACCAGTTACGCCAAGGCTCCATTTCAAGTCATAAAGTTGCTTATTGTTCTGAGTAAATGAGCAGCTGGCAATAGTACCTTTTGNTAAATGAGCAGCTGGCAATAGTACCTTTTTCGGACAAGATACAAATTGACAAAGCAGAGACAACTGTGGCGAAACATACAAGACAAAGAGAAGATAAGCCTTTCTTAGAACAAAACAATCTTAAACATAGGCATCAGATTTTAGTAGGAGATAGTCTTCAATGGCTTGGTTTATAGCCAAGACCTTCTCCTTTCCTGCTTTTATTTCAGCTGACTGCTCAAACTTCATGTCTTATTTGTTTACTCAAGGTTGTTAAACAAGACAACACCTTCGAGCAATGTGCATTTATATGTGTATGTCTCCTCGTTAAGCTCATCAACATGATACTTTATGGACCTAAAATTGCTACATACGCACACAAAAGAAGAAAAAATACCAGAGTTATCATTTTATCTTCGTAGATGTTAGTATCTACTAAGAACACCTCAAGAAAATCCAACTCGGTATTCAGAAAACAACCAAACTCTGCTCAACATAAAGTTTTCATATTTCAGTGATCAGTAAAGGAAATCAAGAAGACAAATGTCAAGCATTGTGGGGGCAAGTCATTCATTGCAAAGGTAGGACGTTTGTTACACTCCATTTCTTTTACATAATGTAAACTTTCTTGGTTTCCTTTTTTTCCCTCATTTTCTTTTTGAGAATTTTGGTAGTAATTTTGAGCTAATGATGATGTGTTTTTACAGCTGGTATGGCATGGGAGTTAGGAAAGCAGTTACTGATCGAGGAAGTGGATATGGCACCTCCAAAAAAAATGGAAGTTCGTCTTAAGATCCTCTACGCTTTCCTCTGCTATACTAATATCTACTTCTGGGAAGCAAAGGTAATAAAAAACTTGTTACAATCTAAAAAACTTTCCAACTTTCCAGCAAATACCACAATCTGTTTGGGTCGATTTTTTCTCTCAACTCCTTTGGAAATTGTAGGAGCAAAACTCAGTCTTTCCTCGCATTCTTGGACATGAAGCATCAGTGTATGTTATTTCAATTGATTGATTCATTGATTGTCTCTAAAACCAAAAAGGTTACTAAATAGATTTTGTTGTTTTATTGGTTTTGATTATATGGATATTTAGGATTGTGGAGGGGGAGTAACAGAACTTGCTCTCGGAGACCATGTCATTCATGTGCTCACTGCAAATCAGAAAAAGCAATATGTACAGCCTCTTACGGATTGACAATGAAAGGGAAGTAATGATTCATGATGGACAACCAAGGTTCTCCATCAACGGAAAGCCCCATATACCATTTTGTTGGGACCTCTACCTTTAGTGAGTCCACCGTAGTTCATGTTGGCTGTGTTGTGAAAATCAACCCTCCTTGCTTCTTTTGACAAAGTCGGTGTTTGTATCCTCGGTTGTGGAATCTCGAGGAGAACGATGACAAATTATGTACCTTAAGTAGTAGTTTCTTTTAATGGGTTCAATTGTTGATTAATCGGACGATTCATTCTTGGCCTTGGTGCAACTTTGAATGTAACTAAACTAGCAAAAAGGTTTAAGTGTGGCTGCATTTTGACTGGGAGCTGTAGGCCATGCTGTGAGTCTCCATATTTCTGTTTTGTTCTTTCCCATATGTTTACTTTAAGGAACTTGAATTTGAGAAGTTCCAGATTCATGATATTGGAAAACAAAATGCAGCAAGCATAAATGAGGCTGCAATATCTAGCAATAAAGGATTTGATGCCTCTGTCCAACCAATGAAGTGACAGAGGATCTTTACGTTTGATATAATATCATCTTGTAATTCAATGTCAATAATTTTAACCAAACTGTTGAAACACATATCGATTGATCAGTTAGGTACTATTACTATTACTACTACTACTACTATTAGAGTTACTGTTTCTATTATAAGAGGAGAAGCAGATGTAAATCTGAAATATTTGGAGAAGCAGATGTTGAGCATATGTAAATGTCTTAAGCTGTTCTCTACTGCACGGAGCTAATGAAGAATCCTTATGCCACCATCCACTCTATGCCCTCCTTTACAGTTTGACTTGCTAGGGATGAAAATAAAATAACTAGTATAATTTGTAAATAATATTGGTAATAGAAAGAAAACAGTATTGTAAAAGTGGTTCTGTTCCTCGATCGCGGTGCACTAGCTGATAGTAGAAAACTGCAGCTGCAGCATGGTTCAAAATGTGACGTGACCTGGCCTAGGCCCTCAGGTCCCAAACCCCCTCTTATAATTTCGATCTCAACTAAACAAGGATGTGTTGAATTTGACAATTGCTTAGGCAACTGCAGCAAAAGCACGGACAGAGGGGACGGAGTTCTTTCTTAGCTAATTGTTGAAGTCATGCTGGGAGCCTTTGTAGTTTGGAATAAGCACATAATAAGTTGCAGTAACTGTATAAAGGATGAATAGCATGAGAAAAACGAAAGGGTTTACAGGCTTGTTCAAGACAAAACAACTTGGAAATTTTGACAATTGATGTACCAAAGTATCTGCCTGGTTGAAACTAAGTACACCTACCAATCATCAACCAATAAATTTAAAATTTAAGCAGATGGATATTTGGAAGGCAAACCAGATTAGATCACTGATCTAAGTTCTTTCACAGGGATTGGAACCAGAGAGGTAAAACATGTGAAACTAAATATTTTACTCCCTCTGTCTCCTCTTGCACACGCCCCTTTAAAAAATATTAATTAGGATGAAATGTTGACTACTTTACCTTTATTCATGTTATAATATTATACCATATTAGAAGTATCTTTGGGGCTATTTTTGAGCATGCTCTTTGCATGTTGCTAAGCATTGGCTAGCACTAGACGTGGTGCGATGTGGAGCGACGTGGTGCGGCTTCGTGCGACGTCGTGCCATGGGCACGCCCTGCCATGTCCTGCGACGTCCTGACACGTCCTGACACGTGCCATGGCCATGTCATGCCATGTCCTATGATGTCCTTACACGTCCGGACCCGTGCCATGGCCACGCCATGCCATGTTCTGACACATCCTGACACGTGCCATGGCCACGCCCTGCGACGTCGTGACACGTCCTGACACGTGCCATGGCCATGTCCTGTGACGTCCTGACACGTCCTGCCATGTCCTGCGATGTCCTGAACCATGCCATGGCCATGTCCTGCGACGTCCTGACACGTCCTGCGACGTCCTGACTCGTGTCATGGCCATGTCCTGACACGTCCTGAAANACGTCCTGACTCGTGCCATGGCCACGTCCTGACACGTGCCATGGCCATGTCCTGCCATGTCCTGCGACGTCCTGACTCGTGCCATGGCCATGTCCTGCGACGTCCTGACACGTCCTGGCACGTCCTGACTCATGCCATGGCCATGTCCAGCGACGTCTTGACACGTGCCATGGACGTGTCCTGCGCCGTCCTGACATGTCCTGACACGTGCCATGGCCATGTCCTGCCATGTCCTGCGT